AGAATCCCAGTGAGACTGGGCCAGATTATAGGCTGCCATCATGATGCAGCCTGATCAAGATGGTTACCAAGGGGTTACCAAGGAAACCGATGCTGATGACCTTTTGGGGTTGGGGGAGGGGAAATATAGATGGCAGAACAAATAACAGGATACTGTGGAGGGGTAACTACATGTAGTGGGTAATTTCTCAAATAAACAGTAGAACATTAAAAGTAAAGTGTAGAATGTAGATTGTGTGACAATATTTTTTTATATAACAGTTTATATGAATATTAAAGCATGCAGTGTGTTACAAATGAATTCACAACCTACTGGATTTTTAAATACATTTTTTCATATATAGCCAAAAGGTTTGAGGTTCTATGTAAATATTTTTTTGTTTTGATAGATGAATAAATGAGAAGGAAAACCTTATAAGCAATCCCCTTCAAGACACTGAAAGACTTCTTATCTGTAAAAGCAAGTATCAAGTATTGTCACATAAATCTGTTGAGGTTAAGGTCCGGACTTTGACTAGGCCATTCAATTACAGGGATATGCTGTTAGATGTTTTTAATTTTAATTGATCATGTTTGGATTTAAACTCTTCCATTGTGGCTCAGCCTGTCTTCTTTAATTTTTGCAGCCTCTAAATGTTTTAGCTCTGTATTTAACTCTTTCCTTCATATTTTGATTGGTGTCCTTTTTGATTAGATCTGACCGATATGAAATGCTTTATGTAGAAATGTCTGACCTTTAACCTTTATCCCGTGTTTAGGTCTTCACTACCTACTCTAACGAAGACTATGACCGCCGCAATGACGACGTTGACCCCATGGCTGCTTCGGCCGAGTATGAGCTTGAAAAGAGAGTTGAAAAGCTGGATTTGTTTCCTGTTGAGCTTGAAAAAGGTTTGTACGCCATCAAAGTCGCCAAGAGTCACCAAGTCAAGTCTCTTATGTAACCAAACAAATCACACACACACCCAGATAAACAGTGGAGGTTCCTTGAAAGGGCATACTCCCTTTGTCTGCTTGTAACACTTATCTTCTTATAGGATTAAAGTTAGTGTGGATTAGCCTAATTAGCAGCTTGTAATTCGGGAGGTAATAGATTTGGACCAGATGGCGTGTGTGATGTCTAGTTATCAATGTTACCAAACAACAGCAGTGTATATCCACAACACTGATAGTATTTATAGGCATAATACTACCCAAATATTTATATATATTAACATTTAGCTGCAATATAAATGTAAACTATCTTATTTTATAAATGTATTAGCATATAAATTAGACAATACCCACATGTGTTCTTGTATTGATGTAGCATACCAGCTATTCTATTTTAAAATATAATCAAAGTAGTAATGGCACTTAGTAGTATATTAGTTGTATGATATGAACAGGTACTTGCATTTAGCCAGAATATTTAGATTAGCTTTATTTGCTAACCAGCCACTCTGACTAGTGGATATCCTGAGTTACTGGCCACTTGGCATTTTTACTAGCCACGATTTTGTTGTTGGGAAATAGTGTTTTACCTGGTTAAAGCTGACTATGGTCTGCTAAAGTGTGCTTGAACTGGATTTACAACCGTTTTAAATGTTGTTATCCATACTTGCAGTTTTTCATTGTTTTTTTAGCCTGCTTTTCTTGGTTTCCTGACACTTTGAATGTGTCGCCACATAACCCCACCAAAGTTGTAGTGCCACATTTCAATATGTTTATTATTTCAAACGTCATTTGAGTAAGAAAAATACAAAAATGTATATAGAATGTGACTTGCCAAAGTGGCTAGCCGGATTGGCTGTTTTTCTTCACCCTCATTTGGCCAGTTGGCTAGTATTAATGTACTAGCCAGTTGGCTAGTACATTAATACTGGCTAGTACATTAATAATAAGAAAGCTTCAATTCTAACACATATAAACAGATTAATTACAATAGTAGTTATGATTCTGAATTAGAAACAACACTGAATAGATTAGCATATTATCTTTTTGCACATTGATTACAATACTTCTATGTATTAGCATGGTATCCACATACTCATAAAATATATTATCTATAATATTTATTTGTTTAATAACTACATGATTAGCTTCTATTAGCTTATTAGCTTATATTAATTTTAACACCAACATTAATCGAGATACCATCAATGATACCATTATGTGTTTTCATATTCAGCTACAATACTGCATGATAACAAAAATGCCTGAATTTATTAGCATCAATGCTAGCTTGTATCACCATAGTAGCTACAATGCTTTCATAAACAGCATTAACATGACATGGCTACAATGCTAACATGTATAACATTCGAAAAACACTTTCATCTATTAGAAAGGTAACTGTGTCATGCTAACATGTGTTAGCTTAGCAGCTACAGTGAAAGCATATTTGAAAGGTCAAAATGGAAAAAGTTACGGCTAAATATGACACTTTTTAAAATTTTATTTTCGACATGAAAAAATGCTTTCTTCCAAATCAAAACCAGGTCTTCAAATTATTAGTTATAACATGAAATAAAGGATGTGCTCCAATATGTGCTGAAGCCAAGAGAGGTCATGATTTATATATTAATAGTGGCTAATATACAACAGTTGAAGCTTGGCTAAAATTAGACATTTAAACCACAATCCTGTCTACACAAAGGAAAGGAAATAAAAACATTTTGGCCTTGTCAAAGTCTAGACTGCAGCAGAATAAAATGTTGCGGTGAGACCTCGAGAGCTGTGGACAAAAAATGCCCACAAACCTCACTAAACTGAAGAACCATTTTAACATTACACACATAATATTCTCTTAACTTCTGCTTATTGTTTTTCAATTCATTCATTTCTTTCATAATGTAATAGCTTTTATTTTTAATTAGAAAAATGTTACATTGATGGGCTGTTTGTTTAAAGTTGTAATAAGCTCTAATAACTGTCCTCACGTCTAAGCCAAACAAAAAAGTGATTGTTTTTGTATTTTGTGACCCTCAGACAGCGACGGCCTTGGTATCAGTATCATCGGCATGGGAGCGGGAGCGGATATGGGTCTGGAGAAGCTGGGGATCTTTGTGAAGACGGTCACTGAGGGTGGAGCGGCTCACAGAGACGGCAGGTACCCCGTCCACCTGTCTGTACTCGTCCTGAGACTTGTTCCAACGGGATCGGGATCAACAAGCTGAACAGAAAAATGAAAACTATTCATGCAACCAAAACATTTCCACATTTTGTCACAACATAACTTAAAGTTGTAGGGAAGTTATATTTGAATGTCAAATCATTCTGGCTTAAACGTGTGTATAAATGTACTCTTTATCAGACTATATTTAGAAAATTTCTACTAAAAAAAAAATGCTGTCTTAAAATCTGGGTTTTATTTCGTTATCTCATGCAGGCCAGTTAGTTATATGTCCGCTTGTACACCTAAATTTGGCCAATCATTATCAATGGTCATCTGCCAATCAAATTTTTTTCAGTCATAGCATCTTGATTCATATGTCGCAGCTGATATACGCAAAGGTTGAAATAAGAATCATTTGCTTTACCATTTTAGTGTTACTTGGTCCCAGTGTAATTTCCCATTGGGAACCTACTAGCACTAAGTTGCTAACTGGTTAGCAAGATGCATCCGACAAACCAGCTACAATCAAAACTGCTTGCAAACCTTCCGCCACATCAACCCCGCCCCGAAGAGGCGACCTAGCCGGTATTTGGGGGTCTGAGCGCCTCTCTGACAGCAAAAATATTTTAAGGCAGTATCATAATCTTTATGAACTGACTGCAAAGATGATATTTTCAAATGGACCTTCTAACTTATTAAAACTACCTTCTACCGACTGATCACAGCAACTATAGCAAAGCCGCTCTCTGCCATTGAACACAGGAACAGCAATGCATCAGACGAATTTGGACAAACTTTCCTGGATGCACTTTAGGAGCGTCAAAGATGCTCTTGAGACGCGTCTCACTTTAACCTCTCTAAATCCAACGGGTCGCCAGCGACCCGTTTTAAAGCATTTACAACTAATAACTCAGAATGCATAACAATTCCACTGGTAAATTTTTTTTACCAATATAGTTCAGTTTATTTCAGTTCAGTTTATTTCTATAGCGCCAATTCACAACACGTCATCTTAAGTCACTTTACATTTCAGCAGATCATCCAGCCAAATAAATTCAAAGTTTTCTATGTAAGGAAAACCAGTTAATTGCGTCGACTCATTGGCTAGAATGCAATTCCTCACACTAAGCATGCTTGTAGCGACAGTGGAGAGGAAAAACTCCCTTTTAACAGGAAGAAACCTCCAGCAGAACCAGGCTCAGTGTGAGCGGCCATCTGCTGAGGCCGACTGGGGTTCAAGGAGACAGAAGCAGAGACACACAAAGCAGCTGTAAAAGTTGGCCCCGTCCAGGAAACACACAACCAGGCAGACGAGCTCTGAGCCAACTCCCATGTTAGAGGACGAAGAGAGCACATCCAGCTAGTCACAGTCAGAGAAACAGGACTACACTGGAAAACAGGCTGATCTCGAACATCTATAAACAAAGGCGTTGATGGCAGCAGCACAGCTGATATTTCTCTCCAGGATGGTGTTACAGCCAAACAGGAACAGACCAGAAGCTCTTATGAGAAAAAGCAGAGAGAGCAGAACGTTAGAGATTGAACTAACAGATTCTACAGAGTGGGAGAATAGAGATAGAATGATGAAATAGGGTCCCTATGTCCTCCAGCAGTCTAAGCCTATAGCAGCGTAACTATAGAGATAGCTCAGGATAACCTGAGCCTCTCTAACTTTAAGCTTTAACAAAGAGGAAAGTTTTAAACCTAGCCTTAAAATTAGACAGGGTGTCTGCCTCAATATAGACATGTTAGACATCGTTGGAAAGCTTAGATTCTCCACAATTCAACCACCAAGGTCATTTTATGGACATAGCGAGCACCAAAGCACAATTTACACAGATATAGCAGCATGTCAAAATGTAAACATGACAAAGCAAGCATGTCTTTATTACTGCTGTAGACCTATGATTATCTAGCATAATAAAAAAAAAACTGAGTCAAGTTTGAACTGATGCAGCTTGGGATGTTTTACTCACCCAATATTCATAAACCAGAAGGTGTTAGCTTTCAAATAATGTATCACACATGTAATTTGGGCTTAAAGTTCCTAAGTTATTTACTTTTCCATTTGGAAATGCAAAACAGGCGAGAATTTCCCGAAATGAGGTGGATGTTAATTATGTTTTAAAAGCATAAAAAATAAAGCAGCAGACGCTTTTTTGCAGCCCAAATCGTGTTCGATATGAATGTAGCATAATTTGTGAGGTCCTCATAGAACAGGATGATCAGAGAGATTAAACCACACTCAGCTGGTGATTGTTTACTAATTAGTGGAACATATGTAGGCGTATTAGACTGAAGACGCTGCAGTTTTTAGATTTTTATCTATGCATACATTGTCAAACCGTGCACTATTTTCCTTCCACTTTATAACCATGTTGGCTCGTCACATAAAATCCTAATAAAATAAATTGAAGTTCCGGTTGGGGTTAAATTTAGAGTGTATCATTGCTTCAGAAAGTTCATGTCACAGATGAAAAGTTACAGTTGGGTTTTGTTGGCCCATCAGTCGTCATAGTGAAACTGTTTTTTTTTCAGAGCCTACTTCCGTTCTGATAGTGGTACTCAGACTAACATATAGATGGTGGTTTGCACTCATGTGGATAGAAATATTCTTTAAATTTGTACAGTACATTATCATGCATACAGTGGGTTTGTTTCTGCTCCAGGATCCAGGTGAATGATCTGATAGTGGAGGTCGATGGGACCAGTCTGGTCGGCGTCACTCAGAGCTTTGCCGCCTCAGTGCTCCGCAACACCTCAGGCAAAGTCAAGTCAGTCTCAGTTGGTTGATATGGTTTTAATATTTCAAACCAATTGAGTTTCATGCTTCAAGTGTGGGTTAAATGTGTGTTTTTGTTTTTTTTTTTTAGGTTTGTTATTGGCAGGGAGAAACCGGGCGAGCAGAGCGAAGTGGCTCAGTTGATCCAGCAGACTCTTGAGCAGGAGAGATGGCAGAGAGAGATGATGGAGCAGAGATACAAACAGTACATGGACGACGATGAGGAGGTATCAGGAAGACTGGCGGCGTGAAAAAAAACAGAAATCACACCACAGATGTCGAGCAGGATAACGTCTACCCGGTTATCCTGTCTGTATTACTAAAGCCGTCCCTGAAAGCACCGCCGGCTTTCTGGTGTGGCTGTCAGGGCGTCTGGAAACCGCTAAAAATCAAAAGTGTCAGTTTAATGTGTGTTTGTGTTGAGACAAAATGTCCTCTGTGTGCAACCACACGGCCTGTCGTTTCTCAGTCTAACCTCTCCACCTTGTGGTCAGAAAAGGGAACTTAATCCTTACACTTAGCATTTCAATTACCTTTGTGTTATCTAATTTTAAAGCATTTAAAAGCTCATTTCCCTTGAAATCTGCTGTGATGAAGTTATCCTGTAATTACTGGATAACTCAACTTGTAATTAACTCAACTTGAAATTAGGGAATAAAAAACAATACATGGATTGCTAAAAGAAAATACTCCTTAACTCAAAGGATATAGAGCCGAGGTTTTCAACAGGGGGTCCGTGACCCCTAGGGGTTCCACAGAGGTACTGCATGGGGGTCGGGAAAGTTTTGGTTGATTAGAATTTTTTATTTTATTCCCCCTTTAAATCCACATTAACATGAATTCATCACACTGTAGTAAACAGATAAATGGAGGCAGAAGATGTCTTTCAGTCATCAATGCACACATTCAGAGACACACATGATCTCTTTCAAGCTGGGCACCGTTTCATTCACAACACCTGTCCCATCAACCAGGAATCAGAATGAGAAATACTTTAATAATCCCAGGGAGAAATTAATTTCATTACATTATTCCATTTGTAACACAGTGACTATAGGATCAGTTTGATATAACATAATTTAATACAATATATACATCTAGCCATCAGTTTGGGGTCCTTGGCCTGGAAAACATTGAAGATCCCTTATATAAAGTTTTGTCTCTGCTGAGGTTTTATGGAAAACAGCATAAAAACGGCTGTGTTGGACTTTTTTCTTGTTAACGTAGTTATTTTTGACGAAAATCATCATAATGTGGGTCCAAGTGGACGTGGAGTGTTTGTTCTTTTAGATTTAGCATTTTCTTTGTAGAATTAAACTTTTTTTTTTTCATTAAACCTGATAAAAAATGTAATTTGAAATTGGCTTTTAAATTCGAATTCATTTGTAAGCAAAAAAGGAAAAAACATTTATTTCAACCATGTTTTTTTTTGTATAATATATTAAAATTTCTATTATTAGGCAGGTCACTTCTTAAAGGTATAATGGAGAATTTTGACAAATTGTTTAAAAACCCCTCCTCTCCACTTAAAAAAAAACAAAACATGCACAACCCTGTACCCGTTCCCAAGAGGGAATGCCTATTTAATGCGTGCAAGAGCCCATTTCTCCTTGTGCACGCTGTGTGTAAAAGTTGCTGTTTGCATCGCTCAAACGAGCTTACTTTCCAAAAGAAGATGCAATAAGGAGGACCACTTATTTTGATGATGCACCCAGAAAAAGAACATGCTCCACTATACCTTTGATTTATTTTACCTCGTGACACCCATTTTTGCAAATACGCAACAAACCGTTTCCTTCTTTTTTATTGCACAAACAGCCAAGCTAGTTACATTCCCCTCAATTATTATATTCGCATTCAGTGAGGATCTAGGAACCTTCGGGAAGCACTTGTTTCTGTTATATCCAGTTCTTTGATTTCATTGATCGTTATAACTGATGTCAGAAATTTGTAATATTCCTACATTTACTTTACAATAGTAACAATGGTAACAATCTCAAAATTCAAAACACCTTAAAAGAAGGAAACTTTTTTATTTACATCTATTTAAATCAACCAAATCACAGAGCAGACCTCTGCTAATAATAATAATAATAATAATAATAGCAGTGTCTCAGTAGAGTTGTGACTTTAGCTAGCATCGATCCTCGGCGTGAAGAAGAGGACATTAGTATTGGCATCTTGTCTGTTGTGGTCTAAAAACACTCTCTGATATCAAGCTTGTCTTTGTGTCTGAATGCAGATGTGTAAGCAGAGCTGAAAATCCATTATGACGATAACATGACTTTATATACCGGATGTTAGTGTGTTTAGCTCACCATTAGCCTGTTAATGTGATGCTAACTCGCTTTGTGATGTAGAGCAGGAAGATGATGTATGATCAGGAGATTGGCAACGGTCATTAGCTTAGCTTTGAAAGGCTTTGGGTGTATTTAGTTTCAGCAGATCGAGTCCCTCCTGTGTTAACATTATACGTAGGGTTTCCACCTTTTAGAAATGGAAATAAGGGACGTGGGGGTCCTAGAGAAACCTCATTTAGTGGGGTGTCTGAGGGGTCCTCCCCCAGAAAATTTTGTATTTCTTAGATGCAATTACCTGCATTTTAACCAAATTGTTTCCCGTTTCAGCTCAACACAGAACCATACTTTTATTTTCTTCTTTGAGAGTGGCTTGTATTTCTTGCAAAAAGCTGCAGCCAATTAAAATAATTAATAAATGGAAATGTTAAGTTTGCACAGTATCATCGCGCACAGAATGATGCCTGGTAGAATTTTTTTAGGCTATAGAGAAGATTACCGCCGGTAATGTTCCCTATATGTTTGGCGTCTTTCTCTCCCTCCCTTTCTCTTCAGATAGGCTAAATAGTTCTAGGAAAAAACAACAAAAGTTTTCCAACTAACGGTATTCATGAATAAAGTTCTACGTATTTGCTTAAATGCACTTGAGCATGTCAGCACTTCAAATGAATAATGCTGCAATAGATGCTTTGAGTTGTTGTGCACCAGTGAGCAGTTTGTAGAACCAAAACTAAACATGAGGACCGTCACCAGGAAACCATGACAATTGCCCCAAGTATAGAGATAGCATTCTCCACTCGGTAATCTCTAAGTATAGAGATTACCGAGTGGAGAATGCTTTAGACGGACGACGTCATAAGGGGAAGGTGAATCAAGAACAGTAGAACTCGAAGCTCTAGCTACGAGAGGGAGGGAGAGAGAATCAGGCATGGGTCACACTCGCAACAGTAGAGTTGTTCTGTGCGCAGATGCCACCGAAATGACTGTTTATTTAGTTATTCGTGAAAATACGGAACAAATGGCGTCCCTTATCAGCTCAATACAGGATGCGTAATTTAACTTCCAAATACTTTTAGACTTGTTTACACAAGTGTAAAACAAAAAAGAAATTTCGTTTGGAAACAGCTCACTGGACAATTTCATCTTTTTAAAAGTGCAGCCTTGAAAATGAGTAAAAATGACTGTAAATTTACACTTCAAACTTTTTTTTGTTGTTGTTTTTTTTAAATACGGGCCGATTCCGTATTTCGAGGGACTGGTGACTACCCTAATTATACATGAAAAAGTTATTTTCTAATATTAGTGTAATTATAACTGTTATTTATCTGAAATTGCATGAAATATCCTTCCAGAAACTGTTTAATAGGTAATTAATTCACCTTTTGTATGATTTTTTTTTTTAAAGCGGTTCGTTAAATTAATCCTAATCTGTATCTTCTCAAACTATTTATTGTTTTGAGTTCTAACATTTTAAATTAAACTGAATAAACTGGTAAATAAAAACATTTCTCAGCAGCCTCAAAATCCAATATGGCTGCCATTAGTGTTAACAACTGTGAGAATTAAGGCAAGGCAAGGCAAATTTATTTGTATAGCACAATTCAGTTCAAAGACAATGCAAAGTGCTTTACATGATTAAAATACAGGAAGATAAAACAGAATCAAAGCAAGTAGTAAAAAATAAAAAGAATGAATTAAAAAATGCAGAAACAAAAAAGAATATTAAAAAAAGTTGGACTAAAGAAAATAAAAAAGTTGAACTCATGATGTTTCAGTTGAACTTTTTACTAGAACAATCTAAGGCAATCCTAAACAAATGTGTTTCTAGTCTTGATATAAAGGAACTCAGTCTTTCCGCACTTTTACAGTTTCCTAGAATTTGTTCCAGATAAGTGGAGCATAGGAACTAAATGCTGCTTCTCCATGTTTAGTTCTGGTTCTAGGTATGCAGAGCAGGCTGGAGCCAGAAGACCTGAGTGGTCTGGAGGGTTGACACACTGATAGCGAGTCTGTGATGTATTTAGTTGCTAAGCCATTCAGAGATTTATAGACTAACAGAAGTATTTTGAAGTCTATTCTCTGAGATACAGGGAGCCAGTGGAAGGACTTTAGAACTGGGGTGATGTGCTCTACTTTCTTAGTCTTAGTGAGGACACGGGCAGCAGCGTTCTGGATCAGCTGCAGCTGTCTGATCCACTTTTTAGGCAGACCTGTGAAAACACCGCTGCAGTAATCGATTCGACTAAAAATAAACGCATGGATAATTAAGATTATTATCTAATGTTCTGTATCTCATTACGCCGCTTACCTCCAGCTGGCACACTAAACTGTTTAGCTTTAGGTTTTAATTGCATAAAATGTGGAGAAATATTTTAATATTTTCACTGGATTTCCTACTTTTAACTACTTAAATACAGGTTTCATTTAAAGCCTTTCCTGATATATGCTCTGATATTTGGGAGGATTTAGCACCAGCTTGCTCTGGGAAAAGCTTGATGATTGATGGTTTTAAATGTCCCGTTCTCTCATTTTTACACCCCTAAATGTATTTTCTTTATTGTCTGTGAACAGACTGGTGAATATGCCACAGATGAAGAAGAAGAGATGAGTCCCATGTTTCCCAACTCCATCGAGGTTTTCGACCTGGCAGAGAACCAGGACTTGTCTCCTGTGGAGCTGGACCCTGAGAAGTTAGCCCACAAGTTTAAGGAGGTACATTTTATTCATCTTCACTTAAAAAGATCTGATCTTCTATTTCTTCGGTTTGATATATTTCCATGTTTCCCAGTATTTATTTATTTTTTGCTCTGCTGCAAATAAAATGTCCTTTTTCTGTGGATACAGCTCCAGATTAAACATGCAGTAACGCAGGCAGAGATCCAGCTGTTAAAGAGGAAGGTGAGCCACTTTATTTTCAGTTCGCCTCTACAGGATGAAATGAAAAACAAACTCAGAAGTGTGTGGTACAGAGGGGAATGGTTCTCTGTCTGTTCTAAACAATGACTTAACGCTGGCTCTGCCTCCCACATACCACCTCCTTCCTCCCACCATCACGCCCCTTACCTCCAGCTGGCTCATGCAGAGCAGGATAAGCTGCGTTGGCGGATGGAGCGCGCTCAGTTGGAGCAAAACATCAGAGACAGCAAAGAGAGGATGGAGAAACTGGAGGGCTACTGGATGGAGGCACAATCCCTGTGTAAGGTAATTTCTTAGAGAATAAAAAGGATTTTTTTCCCTGTTCTTAAACTAGGAGCTTCCAGTCCCAGTGAAAGTTGAATTCTGAACATTTTGTAACACTCAGCATGTGCTTTCAGGCTGTGGATGAACACCTGAAGGAAACCCAGTCCCAGTACCAAACCTTAGAGAGGAAATACAACAAAGCCAAGAGAATGATTAAAGAATACCAGCAAAAGTAAGAGAATAGAAACTAATATAAGGAACCCTGATCAGAAAGTCACATTGGATTACAGCTATAAGCACATATCGTCAACATAGAAACAAACATGCATGTGCATTTGGGATTTGTAGGGAAATTGAGTACCTGAAGAAAGAGACCGCTCAGCGGCGTGCACAAGAAGAGAGCGAGGCCACTCACAAAGAAGAGACGGACAACCTGCAGGAAAAGGTTGGTGACTTGACCTTTTTTTTATTCCCATACTGATGTAGAAACACAGCTCAGGTTGAGCAGCAGAGCCGACCCTGTCTCCTCCTAGCTTTGAACTTTCTCCTCACTGTGGCTGCCTCTGTGACTCAAACCCACATGTAAAAAACTCCTCATTTAGCAGCTAAAAGAGGAGAGGAGGTAAACTTGAGACCCCTGGTCTCACTTAAAGCTGATTTATTCTCAGAATCCAGGTCGTCTGCGTGTGTTTAGCAGACAGGAAGCCTCTAATTGGTCAAACCTACATCTGCTCTACACTATGTGTATTTCCTGTTTGGTACCTTAACGGCTTGTTTTGTTTGTATGACCGCCATTGTGGAAAACGACTCGTGAAGATGGACCAGCTAGAAGAGCGTGAGAACACTGGGACCCTTTTTCCACCTGGATCCCCGCTCTTTTTTCGCCCTCATGTCCCTCCGTTGTCGCACAAACTTTCCCCCACTTTCCATGCCCATTTAAATTCAGTGATTTTTACGCCAGAACTGTAAGGCGACACCTTCACCATCACAATACACCTCTAGGGGGCTCCCTCCACTCGCAACTGTCTAATCAGCTGGCGGTGTAGATTCGAGGACAGGGTCCTTTGTGTCCACATTCCTTCTCTGGTATTTGATTAGACTTGGCTGAGTGAGGGAGCAGATGTTAACGGGGCGTCATTTTTAACAATGCACCTGAAAAAATGTGCTGGAATTATTGATTGGTGTGCCAAAAAGGAGGAACTAAATCTACACTGGTAAAAAATAAAAAAACATACCTTCTGTGTCATATTTGTTCAATGAATTCAATTCAGTTTATTTCTATAGCGCCAATTCACAACACGTCACCTAAAGGAACTTTACAGTTCACCAGATCATACAGTC